TTATCCCCCACTTTCTTATGCATGTTCCTAGGTATTGTACCTATGTTTCCTAGTTGTTTCCGACACTCCAAGGTACTTCTAAAAGTCAAAAACTCATCCGTAACATGTGATCAAACACCTTGAATCCAAAATTTCAATCCAAGGAGAGTTAGTTAGAAGTCAAGTGAAGTTAGAAGTTAAGCTTAGAAGTTAAGCAAGTTTTAAAGTTATTCAAGAGTCTTTATTAAACGTTTTAACTTCATTTTTTAGACTCAAGTTTCAAGTCAAGCAAAGAGCTTAGAGTTTCAAGCTAAGTAAAGAGTCTCAAGACTCAAGTTAAGTCAAGAATGTAAGTTGAGTTCATTTCTCAAAAGCTATTAGGGAACCATGTATTCCCAAAGAAGTTTCTAAATGTTTTTACATTTGAGTAAGAAAGGGACTATGATTTTCAAAAGAGCCTTTGGGCTAGCTTTAAGAAAAAGGAACATCGTTTCCAAGTGAGCCTTTGGGCTAGATTTTGAGTAATTATCTCAACTAAAGAAGGATGTGTTTAAAACACTTATGAGCTAAAGTATTTTTGGGAGTAGTATCGAGCACCGAATTGGGGACGCGAGTTCATATTAACTCAACTCTCCATAAGAACCATGTAGCCAACATGGGAGTTAATAGGTCATACTTTTTAGATGAATCCGTAAAGTTAAGCTAGTGGATCCACTTAGTAAAGTTAGCTTCCTATATCATGGCAAGGTATATGATGGTCATCGGGCAACGTGAGGTAAAATGTTGTATCACTACTCAGATTCATAGTGGTGGTTTGTCGGTTAGAAAAACTCCCACAGTAGAAATTGCATGGTTCCTCGAGGAGTTCTGCTTAGTGTGGATGGGGGTATGAGACTTCATTCATGCATTGCACAAGTAGACTTTGAGAGGAAGCATGGTATTTTCATGATATTATAAATATGATTTTTACGTCATGTTTTAAGAGTTTACAAGCTTTATATATTGCATGTGTCTTATTGTTTTATATATTGAGTTCAGTTATTCATGAGTTGAACAGAGCTAAGGTAAGTGTTCTCTTGTACTCCTTTCAAGCTTAAGTCGTGGTTTAGCTTTCCAGCTCGCATACTCGTACATTCAATGTACTGATGCCAGTTGGCCTGCATCTTATGACGATGCAGACACAGGTACTCAGGGTCAGCATCCTGCACGCCGTTGATCCAGCGGAGCACTCCAAAGTCAGTGGTGAGCCTCATTGCTTTTTGGAGGACTCAATTATTTTGTGTTCCTAGTTTTGTTTTGTTAGGATGTTGCGGGGTCTGTCCCAACATCCATCTCAGTATTTGTAGAGGCTTCATAGACAGTCAATCAGTTAGTATTGCGTCTCTCGTCTATGTATATATGTAAATATTCTATTTTGAGACTTGAGTTGCCCTTTTGGGCCAGATTTTTATCAGTTAAATTGTTTTATGTCCTTGCACGACATTGAGTTATTCTGGTGAGTTAGGTTTTCGCTGAGTTAAGAAAGTCAGGCCAAGGGTTTGCTTGGGGCCAGCAATGGTCTCCGAGTGCCGGTCCCGCCCAGGGTGTAGGCTCGGGGAGTGACATTTGGTATGTAGAAAAATGGAGTTGGAGACGCTGGGTGGGTGTATAATGAACTTTAGATTTACTTATGTAATTTGTTTTTCTTACTTTAATTGAGGAAGTTATTTTTTCCTCATTTTAAAGGCGATTGTTTTTCTAGAGAAAATATTTTTGACCAATTAAAACATGAAAAAATTAAAAAATATTTCCCATCCGTACCAAACAAATTAATCATATTAAACTTAATTCCGATCTTGAGTTTAAAAGTTTACTTACAAATGAACTAAACTATTCATGCTGGAGCTCTTAAGTAGAAGCCAAATCAAATACTACAAGATATCAATCTAGATTATGGTGTAGTGGTGGGATTACTTCACCCTTAATCAAAAGTCTCAGAGTCAAACCCTAGATACAGAGAAAACTTAATTGGGAGAGCTACCTCCAAATGAACTTAGTCGTGACTCTAATATAGGCTCCGAATACCAAATAGGAAACCAAAAAACAATAAAATACTAGAGAGGTAATTTGGTTATTTTTTGATAAATAAAGCAGGAAAAGTAGAAGCCAAACAGTTGCAGGGGTAACTTAGTAAAATTATTCTGAAGTAAACCCTAGTTCCGAAACCTCCTGAGTCTGTAGTGGCACCTATAAAATCCCAAAATGGCAGCATTCTCACATTAAGAACCCTAGCCACCACCATTCTAAATCTTTCTGCTCACATTTTCCAGGATCAACTTCTCATTTGCTTCTTTTTCATGATTCAGTTGTTATCTTTATATTGTCTTTGTATTTTTGTTGTTGTGATTCTTAGTTTTTGTGTTTTCTTATGCCCCTTAGATTGTGGTAAATTTTGTTTCTTGGCTGCATCTATCAGCTCAAATCTGCGCGCCTCTGTCTATGATGGCATTAAATATACTTTGAGTATTCACTATGAAACAACTTTTAATCTGAGGCTTGAGGCTTTATCAATTCCTTATGTTTTCGTAAATTTTTGCAATCCTTATTTTAGGGTTTGCTTCATTAATTAATGGGTCTGATATCCTTTTGCCAAAGGAAGAAGCTTTATATAATACGTAGAATTTCGAAATGTTACTCCTTTTGTTGATTTCCTTTTTGAAATTCATTATGCCTCTGCTTTTCCAGTACTTAAGAGTCTTAGTTATTATTATTATGTATGTATTCCACGGGGCAGTTGTCAAGATTATAATGTTGTAAAAGCTTAGTTTGAATCTTATTTAATTTGCTAATTCAATGCTTACAGTGATGTTGCATTCTTGGTTGGTGGTTTATAAAGAATTTGATATGAGGATACACTTGTTTATCTTAAATATAAACTTGTGATAATCTCGAACTATTTTCAGTTTTTTCCCTCTTTTTTGGGTTAAAGTCTTCATTTCATTTGGTCCTTGCAATGATGATAGAACAGACAGGGACATCAGCACCCTCTGGGGATGATGATTTGTCGATGGGAATCTCTCTGATGCTTGAGACTCGTCTTATTTTCAACTGTGTAACCATTGCTGTAGTTATTCATTTTCACATTAACTGTTCCATAGCCCATAATTGGTGATTAGTTTATTGCTTGAACAACTTCTCCTATAACGCTGTGCTTTTAGTTGCATTTTTGGTTTAGAAAGAGCTTCCCAGTCATATATTTGTGAGATTTGCACACCAATCACATTGCATATCTAGTTAGAACTTTGGCACATTGATAGTGTTGTATTTGTTACACACACAGTGGTAGCTACTAGCTAGTGATTGTTGCTATCAATCATCTTAGCAAGTTAAGCATTGGGATTTTTTTGACTTTTCTCTTATGCTGCTCCTTTGGCTTTGTTATTTTAAAATCGTAACTTTGTGGTTCATATTACTAGAATTAAGAAATAAGAAAGATGATAGTGTGTGAGCACTACTTCTCTAAGGCCACCAGTTAATACTCATACCTCTCTACTATTTGTATTTGGTTCTTGCAATGATGATAGAATAGACAGGGACATCAGCACCCTCTTGGGGATGATGATTTGTCGATGGGAATCTCTCTGATGCTTGAGACTTGTGTGATATTTTCAACTGTGTACACTACCATTGCTGTAGTTCCTGTTGTGTATTTCTGGTCCTGTCATTCATTTTCACATCAGCTGTTATGTGTTCCCTGGTGAATTTATTGCTTGAATAACCTCTCTTATAAAATCTCTGCTTTTAGTTGCATTTTTGGTTAAGAAAGAGTTGTTGGCTTTGCACACCGATCACATTGTATTTGTTACATACGAAGTGATAGCTAGTGATTGGCATTATCAACCTTCTCAGCAAGTTATAAGCACTTGAATTTATTTGACTTTTCTCTGATGCTGCTTCTTTGGCTTTGTTATTTTGAAATTGTATCATATCATCATAACTCAAAATGAAAATCCTCTAAGGTCACCAGTTAATACACATACAATTTTGTTCTGTTTTTCTTTGATTTTTCAGAGGTTGCAGTAAGCACAATTGATCCTTCATCTTTAGTTAATCATGCAAGTGCTTTTCTTCACATTGTCTTAAAAGTGCCAGTGATGTGTCTGTACGTATTATCTTGATATGTAAAGATGATGATGTTACGTAATTGTCACTACCTCTGAGGCACAATTTTTATTTTTTTTTGACATTTCAGTTTGATCTGTTACTCTCTTGTGTGGGATTTTTTTACCTCCTCCATTATCATCTTTTTGCAGCTATTTGTACCTTTTTTTGGTATAAGCCTGATGATTGTCAATTAAGAACGGAGATTCGAATGTTGCTATCTGTTGAAGCCTTCTTATAAGTTGGGCTCCAGTGGCGTCACATGTGATAAACTTTCTTACATATGATGAAGGCTTGTTTTTACCAAAAATGATCAGATACATTGGTGGATTTTCTTCTTGCAGATGGACTGCTGGATCATAATTGATGAACTGTTAAACTACCATGATAATCATCTAGTCATCGTTAGTCTTGATGCATTCTTTTAGTATGTTGCAGCAAATTTATTAGGATTAGTGATGGATCACTCTAAAAATTGGGTGACTATTTATGGTCCTCTAGTTACTCAAAGACGTGTTTTCCACAGTTCCTTCAATGCCGGGATTTTCATCATTTTGATTATACATGTTGTCCAAGTTGGAAAATTTTGAATAAGTGATAATGTAAATATATTTTTTCAGTTTGTTTGAGACTGAGTTGTAATCGATGGATTGTTTAATTATTTATCAAAAAGCTTCACGTCTTGTAGTATTGCTATTGTACATTATTATCTACAACAATATACTTGGCCTAATCGTACAAGTAAGGTTAGGAAACTGTAATATGTATGTAGATCTTATCTCTGCCGTTGCAGTGTAGAGAAGTGGTTTGATAGATTCTCGGCCTTATAAGTTAGTCCCACCATTTTTCCTGATTTCACTTCCTAAAAGTGGTTAAAGAATCTACTCCTGAATACTGGAGGAATCAAATGATGATTTTTTTGATATTTGTCCAATTGAGGCTAAAGTTAAAAGCTCAGATTCCTCAAGACCTTTTGCTGGACTGAAGCTACACCCTTCATCCCCATACCTTGCTACTGCATCTTTAAATTTCTTTATCTGCACAAGTACAAGTTCTACAATGAGAAGATACACTTTTCTTTAGCAGTAATGTGACAAATCAAAGATTTTTTTAGAAAAACTTACTGTTGCATTAGTACAGCTGAAGCTACTAACTTTGCCTTGTGCACCCTTGTAGAATCTGAAGAAGGGCAAGACAGGTATATGAAGAACATTACACATGCTTTTCAGTTCTTCATAGTTTACTTTTAGAAATATGGCATTGGGATTTGATTCAGCTAGCTCACACATCTGCAAACATTATGTAACAATAGTGATTTTATTAACAGCAGCATGATTAAAAGGCAGGTGTCAGAATTTGCATTCAGAATTGCTGTGGTGTCTGGTTCATCTTGGCACGCCTCAACTAATTTTATAGGTATCTTAGATTTACCTCCTTCCAACAAAAAATATTAGGTAACTCTATCAACCAAGACTTGGACAGCTGCAAAAAAAAAATGAAATTCTTGAACATTTTGGTACCATACCTTAGGATGTAAAGTCTTGCAACCTCCACAGCCAGGAGAGTAGAAGTCAATTATGACTAATCTATCACCAGCCTTTAACAATGAATCAACAAGTTGTTGTGCTGAGTTGATCTCTACCACGTTGGATTTAAGTGTCTTCTCCCACCATCCCTGACCACTGCCAACACAAATTTCTACTTGTGCCTAAAACATTAGACAAAACACTTACTGATCCTTAATCTCAGAACTCAAAAAAGGAGGAAAAATACAAGAATGAAACATAAAAAGCACCTGTCTATGGTCTGATACATCCAAGGATTTGGCTAGAAATTCTCTAGATGTTAAATCTTTAAGTTGCAAATTTCCATTTGAATAACAATGATGAGCAGACCCTTTGGCTCTGGAATTGAAACAGGGGACAGAAACAGAGAAACCAGTATTCAAAGAACTTGTCATTGACACTAAAAAAATAGTTGCCAGACTATAGTATCTAACAGTTAATTACCTTAACTTGGGGATAAAGAATCAACTTTTTTCCAATAGAAGAAGAAAGATTTAGGGGCACGCAACAACAGATTGGTGTTTTCTTCCGTAAATTAATAGAAGAAGAAACAATCACACATTTTCAATACTAAAAAAGGGAAAAAATTGAGGCTCTTTTTGACCAGGAAAGAAGGAAGTCCAATGAAAATTGTGCTTCTCTTCCTTTAAAAAGTTGAGGAATAATCAAGTTAAGGATTCAACTTATTAGATTTAAACTTAATTGAAATTGAAACTATTTTTTTTAAAACATTTACAGGTAATTTTTTATTAAAGATTTATAATCTTGAAAATAAAATAAGTTATTTATTATAGGTGAAAAATGATTTGATGGTGTGAAGTTTTCTTACACCGATAAACTCTTAAAATTAGTAACTTTACTCTCGTGAAACAACAGTATAAATTTTTAAGTGAATACAAGCTTTATCCATTAAAATTTTATTCAATGTTAATATATTTTAACAAAAAAGTTAGGATGAGTATGTGGTAGCCCATAAACAATGGGCGGACCTATGCGGGTGTCAGGGATTCACCTAAATCTCCTCGATAAAAAATTACATTGTATATGCATAAGGTAAATTTTCAATATTTTTCTGTATATACTAATTTTGAACCACCTCAATCAAAAAAGAGATATAGCTCAGTGGTTTTAGACTGTGCAACTTGGGCCGCGAATGCTATCCCTGATTTGCAGGTTTGATTCTATTGGATGCGCAAGCTATCTAATTTTTTTTAAAAAAATTAATTCTTTGGAGTTTGTACTTTACACTCTAGTTCACACATTTATATTTTTATTTTCCGAACCCCCTAATTAAAAATTCTGAATCCGTCACTACGATAAGAGATTATGAATAAGTCCCTCTACCAACGCCTTCTTAGTCAAGCTCGTGACATCATACTTTTCTTATGCGATTTTCATCTCCTATATAATTTGCAAGCTATTAGATATGTAGGAGCAAACTTACCCAATGTACCCAAAAATAATAGCTATTGCGGATATTATTTTTTTTTAAAAAAGGACTGATTTTGGATGATGATTAATAACAGAGTGTGGGCAATGATTATAGGCTTGTTTGTTTATATATAGAAGGTGGTTGCGTGTAATTGAGTTGGCATTTTTTGTATTTTGTCTAAGTTTTAGATGATTGAAACAAATGATGAGATGCAAAGAATACAAATAATGAGAATGCCAATGAGTGTTATATTATTATGAGTTTTAGGCATATTTGGCAGTTAGTCAATGTAGTTTCACTGCGTAGTAGACTTTGTCTCTTTTATTATTTGGATAAGAATTCCAGCAACTCTTTACTATTTTCATCGAAGCAAACAGCTTCATGCATGTTTCTTATTTTCATTCAACTCAATAAAGATGACACTTTTTATTACTTTACAAAGTATATATACTACTATTAATATCTTTAATTTGGGATATGGGAAAAACATGGCAACATAAAGGGTCCACTTCCGGTATGCAGATTTGATTTTGTAACCTTTTACAATTTTATCTCTTTAACAAGATAGATTATTATTTATACTCATAAGAAATTTTAAAAACTTTTTTTATATTCAATTTATAAGTGGTCATAAGAGATCATTTTTTCAACTCAGGAAAAAGTATGTTTGTTTTTTTTTCTTGTAATATCAGAGGTAGAGTTATGGTGAATATTTGGATTTATATCTTAATCTTTTTTGAAGGGTAAGGGTCTGTTATCTAAAATCTTCTATTAGTGAAATATCTTCAATTATTAGCCCATGGTTTTGTTCCTTTTGGAGCACTTTTTTTGTTTGCCCATGGTCTGGAACACTGAACAGTTAATGCTGGTTATTACTACTTAAAAAATATACGACAAAAGAATAGCATCTGGCCCATTAGCTCAGTTGGTTAGAGCGTCGTGCTAATAACGCGAAGGTCGCAGGTTCGAGACCTGCATGGGCCAATTTTTATCATGTTAGCAGCAAATATCGTTTTTCTGTGGAAAGTCTACTTTTTTGGGTGAAAATAAAATATTTTTCTTTAAAAAAGGACACAAATATAAAAGATAACTTACAACAATCCAAAAGTAATTAATCACGCATGATTTTGTATTTTTGTTGATGAACTTTTCTTTCAAAAATTGTACTCACACCATTTCAATGTACGCAATACTATTTTCATACTCCCTCCGTCTCAATTTATGTGACATTTTTCAAATTTTGAGATTCAAACAAATCTATTTTACCATAAATTTATCATATGTCTTTTAATTTTTTTGAATTGCCAATTGTTGTGCCTTATAGTATTTTTACGTAGTTTACAAATGTATAAATTTCATTTCAAAATTTTTGAAGATTCCACGCGCAAATTTTTGGTCAAACTTAAACTGTTTGACTCTCGAAAAACGATAAGTCTCACGTAAATTGGAATAGAATTGGGATAGAATGAGTATTACTTATTAGTATATATGTTCCTAAAAGAGAGATATATTTATAAACATCCCACTATAAATTTTACTCTCAATGTGATTTTTTATAACAAGACAAATATAATTATATTTAAAAGATCACATGCTTAAAAAGTTTTATGCCTAAAATTTATATGTATGGCAGATTTAAATCATTTTATCTTCTTACAATTTAAACTATATGACATGTTTAATTAACATAAGCTATCTTAGGTAAATTGCTATGATGAAATATATTTGTATATAATTACATATAAAATTTTACTCTTACTCTAGTATCTGTTTGTTGGTGGAAACTGACAACTATCTCCTGAAACTAGTCGAGGTACGCAAAAGCTGATCCGAACATCACGATCATAAAAAAATATTTGTATAGGTATCCTACACTACAATTTTTTTTTATGACTAGGTCTTATCTAATTCTTATTCTTTCCTCTTGAATATCCTACCGACGTTATCTTACTTGCCCACTTCAAGTGTTACCAACATAGATCCTTGTAGCTTGACTCTCTTTTAAGCTACACAATGATTAAGTAGGGAGTTCCTTTTAGGCCATAACAAACACTCGGTACAACATATAACACGTTCTCATTCTTAACCAAATATATTCAATTTATAGTATATGAATAATTAATAAAATTTTAAATATTATTAAATTATATTGAAGAATCTAATCAAGCACTTAGTAGGATCATTGAATATTGTTTGACTACTCAGAAAATGCAATCACATGTATATAAACACGAACTACATCATGTAAAGCTACAATCTAAAATCGTACATGTTACAGCTGTTCGTTCCAACATTTTTTTGAAAATAAACCTTTCAAGAATCTTCCCACAAACTTTATGAAATTGGAGAAGGAACAGAAGAAGTGTCTGCTCTTTTGGAATTGTAGAAAATGGAAAGATTTTCAAAGAAGTTAGATAGACTAATAGTGGCGAGACCACATGCTTCAATTTCATGAGCTCTACCCTGCCCGCATTTCCTTGTGTTTTAAAGAGGGAAAAACAATCTCTCTACCTGCTGTCAACAGTCTTTCTTCGGAATTATTTGAATGGGTTCTTTTTCGGATTTCTCCTGTGAGAACTTTTTTTATAATGAAGGGACACAACTATTCAAATAATTGTCTCTTCCGAAGGGACACAATTATTCAAATGGTTGTGTCTCTTCCCTTATATATATATATATATATATATATATATATATATATTTCTCTTCACATGGATCCGGGTTAACCCATATGGGTGACGTGATCCAATTTCCTTTCATTTCTACTTATTAGAAGAGTGGGTAAGCTCCTCAGTATCAACATTCAACATGTATGCTTGATGTCTTAAATTATTTTTGAGGGTATTTAAGTCTTCTTATAATCTATTTGTTAGTTTTGTATAACTTAACATGAGTGTGTCCTACTTTTTACTCTATTTTATTATCTTCTTTTTTATTACTTAAAGTGTTCCATGCAAAATATTAAATATAACAAACTTTATTACCTTTTTAACACTCTTAAAAAGAAATTATATAAAATATTTAGTTGAATCTTATCACTTTATCTATGCTACATAAATTCTAGTTCAAAACGAGTGAATTGTTCAAAGTTCAAAATAAATGTTTGAATTTTTCTTTTTCATTTTTTGACCTTCATTTACATTTTTAGGTAATAAGTTCAAGATAGTTAATTGCTCATATTCATACTTTTACTTTGAATTATTTATATTTTCAAAAATTGTATAACAATAACTAAAAGGGTAAAACTGAAAAATGACGTTCAATTTATGTCCTAAACATTTTTTAAAATAGATATTCATTACCTCACAAATTCATTTAATATAGAGTAAAGAGAGTAACATCTATCGGCCCGTGCTTGCACGGGAACCTTGTGTCTAGTCATATACTATCAAAATATAATTAATATGTTCTGGAATCATTAATGGTTAAATCCATGCTGCATCAAGTTCAAATTCTTGAATTTTCCTCTCTGTCTTTTGAGGTATCAATTATAAGGAGTAAATCCATCATATTGGTGCATTGTCACGACCCAGACTGTCGTGATTGGCACCCACACTAACCCTCCGGTGGGAGAATCACTACTACAACCCAAACCAAGCAACTAAACCAAAAACTAAAGTATTTAAGTCACGGAAGCAAGTTAAATAGCTAAAGACTGAAGTTCCCATAAACTTCCAAAGATCTAACAACTAAACAATGCGGAAAATACACCTAAAACCTAAAAGTCAATGTACCAAAACATCTAAAGTTCAACAAGTCTAAACAAGAAGGGTTACAACCCCAAACTAATGAACTAATAACTAGCTAGAAAATCTACGTCCGAATTGTGGACGTAGACAGAAAGAGAACTCATGGCAACCTGGAAGAACTGGCTCACCTTTGAATTCGAACGACGACCACTGATCTTCTAATCCAGGTCTGTCAATAGCCGCTTGAAGATGCCTTGTACTCAACAAAGAAAGAGCAAGTGCAATATCAGTACACAACCACAATGTACTGGTAGGATCACACGACTATCCCACTAAGTGCAACATACATAAGCCAAAACAACAATATAATCACATGCATATATCGAACATATACAAGATTATCAACATTTACGAACAAGATACAATTTTACATTTCTCAAGATACACAATTATATCAAATCACTGGTTCTCTCATGGAACCCAAACTCAAACAGTTAGCATACCGGAACATGGTACCCAATCCAATGATTATGCCAGAACATGGCAACCGATCCCATAATTATGTCGGAACGTGGCAATCGATCCAAGTTAGTGTGTCGGAACGCAACACTCGATCCATTCAACAAGCCACAATCACAATCACAAAGTACATTCTCATAATCATACAATCAAGTCATGATTCATAACATTCATCATTCATATATCCTCATTTACAATTAATGTGATTAATAATGCAACATTCGCATACATACATGTATCATAATTAAGCAAGAACGAACATACATCACACAATCATAGAATTACAACCATCACCTACCTCGAAACAAGCTTGAAACACTAAGAAACTTGATCCTTCCCTTTCCGGATTCGTTCCGCTTGTTCTTGGTCTACAAACAATCAATATAATACGGAAATCAATAAACAATCACTAATTACCAGAATTACTAACAATCCTAAATCATACCCATTCCCAATCTCCCAATTTAGGGTTTTTTCCCACCATAATTATCAGATCAAAACTTTCTCCCATCGATAATTACCCATTAAATTATGTTCTACGGATTGAAAAATGGATTCGAGCAGTTAAAATCTTACCTTTAGCCTCAAGAATGGTGGAAAACTATCAAGAAAAGCCCTGGGTTTGTTTCTTAGATCTCAAGTTCGAAAATTGTAGAATAAAATATTTTTGGGGTTTATTTACGACTTTAAGTCGCATCTGGCCCGCCACAGCGGTCCTCACCCCGCTATAGCGTCCCCGCCCTGGCGACAGAAATCACCGCCAAAGCGACTTGCACGAAACAATGAGTTGTTTTAATAATTCCAATACCCCCATTTCACAACACGCCTTCAACCAACGAAACTCAGAAACTACCCGTTCACGCTAAGATCAATTCCGGGAGTTCTACTTGCCCGAATTCAATTCTGTAAAGTCGTACGGGTTCCTTAATGACTTACCTATCTACTCATGTGATCAAATTCATAATTAGATCACCCAATTGCTACCATATTTCACTAGACGTTAATAACTCCGATTTCGTCCAAGTCTGAACCAGGGGCGGAGCTACCCTTGCTCGAGGGGTGTCAAGCGACACCCCTTCATCGGAAAATTACGTTGTATAGGTAAGTCAAATTCTGTTTTTATACCTATATATATTAGAATTGACACTCCTGAACCAAGTTGAAGTGTTGGTTCAGCGGTTCAAGGGCAACAAAGTTCTGCCTTGTCATTGACCTAGGCGTTGGGAGTTCGAACTTTGCTGAAGCCATTTTTTTTTTAAAGGCTTTCAGCGTTTTTTTTTTACTTTTTAGACAGCTGTAGCTTTTTTGTCTTTAGTTTGTAGATAGCTAAACGTTTTTTTCCTCCAATTTTTAAACCATTGACTTAAATTAAGTTTACTTTAATATTTTATTTTTTAAAAAGAAATAAAATACACTTTAGGGATTTAGAGTCTAGGGATTAAACAAATCCCCAATTCCAAAATCAAAAGTTTTGAAGAGGAAGAGTCCAAAACGATCGTCTTTGTTCGCTGACTGCGTCGTGCAGTCGTCTTCAGACTTCAATCGCCATTGCTTGGCGTCAATCTACGTCCTGGTCATGGCAACGGTAAGTTCCTACTTTCTTACACCTTGTATTTTTTTTCTTCGTCCAATTTGTTGATGCCAGCCATCATAATGCTCTATTTATATTTACTTGTTTTGTTTATGATTGATTTATCATTAGCAATTATATATTTTTCTCATGAAATTTTTGGTTTACAATTCAGTCTCAAAAATCAGTGAAGAACTATTTTTTCCAAGTACCAAAATCAAATTTGGCTTCTAATAGTCAACTTACACGGTAAAAAAATGCCAACCAATCAGAAGTACCCCTCCATTCTTCTCAAAGACAAGAAATTGATTTAAATTCTTTAGAATTTGATCCAGCAAAAAGGACTCCAATCTTGAACTATCATCCAAATGATCGTGATGTAATTAGGAGAGCATACCTTCGACAAGGTCCTTGTCAACCTGAGAATCATATTTTTCCTCAAACAGATTTTTATGGAGATATGCGTCGTTTTAATCCTGAATGGTTTAAAGAGTATCATGATTGGTTGGAATATAGTGTAACTAACGATGCAGCATATTGTTTGAATTATTATTTGTTTAAAGATGATAACATTCATCAAGGTGGAGGTGAAGTATTTTCTACTGTAGGGTTTAAGAGTTGGAATAATAAGAAAAGTTTTAAGCAACATCTTGGTGGGCCGAATAGCACTCATAATCAGGCAAAAAAGAAAAGTGGAGATCTAATGCGACAACAACAGTCTATTATATCTGCATTTGAGAGACAATCTGATCAAGTTAAGCATGAGTATTGGCTTCGCTTGTCTGCCTCAATTGATGTAGTAAGACTTCTTTTGAATCAAGGATTTGCATTTCGGGGTCATGATGAATCTAAATCATCACTTAATAGAGGTAATTTTCTTGAAATTCTCTCATGGTATGCGAAACATTGTGATAAAATTTATGATTATGTATTGGAATGTGCTCCTCAGAATGACCAAATGACTTCTCCAATGATTCAAAAAGATATTGTCACTGCATGTAAGATAGAAACCATCAAAGCTATTATCCAGGAATTAAATGGTGACTATTTTTCTTTATTGGTTGATGAATCTTTTGATGTGTCATGTAAGGAGCAAATGACTATCGTTTTATGATATGTTGATCGAATGGGATTTATGGTGGAGCGATTGATTGATATTGTACATGTTCAAGATACTAGTGCTTTATCTTTAAAGGGGGAAATTGTCAATGTACTTGCTCAACATTCATTGAGTCTATCATATGTGCGCGGACAATGTTATGATGGGGCAAGTAATATGCAAGGCAAGACAAATGGCCTTAAAATGTTAATTAGGCAAGAAAGTATCTCAGCTCACTCTATTCATTGTTTTGCTCATCAACTTCAATTAACTCTTGTTGCAGTTTCCAAAAAATGTATTCAAGTGGGAGAACTTGTATTATTGGTTTCAAATGTTTTGAATGTTTTGGGAGCTTCTTTTAAGCGTATGGATAAATTTCGAGATTCTAAAAAAAAAAGAATTCAAGAGGCATTAGATAGGGGTGAACTTACAACCGGTACCGGCTTGCATCAAGAACTTGGTCTTATAAGAGCCGGTGATACTCGTTGGGGATCTCACTACAAATCTTTTAGCAATTTTATTCTTATGTTTGGATCTATTGTTGATGTTCTTGATGCACTTGTTGTTGATGCATATTCTACCGATGAAAGAGCTAAGACAACAGGATATCTCGAAGCTTGTCAAACATTTAAGATTGCTTTTATGTTGCATTTGATGAGAGATATCTTAGGAATCACAGATGAGCTCAATAAATCCTTGCAAAAGAAAGAACAAGATATTGCAAATGCTATGCTACTGGTTGAAGTAGCAAAGAGAAGGTTGCAAATGCTAAGAGATGATGGATGGGATGCACTTATTAATAAGGTATCCACATTTTGTATCAAGTATAACATTTTGTTACCTAATTTTGATGAGCCATATGTTAATTCTGGAAGATCAAGGCGTAAACCTTCCGATTATACGGTCTTACATCATTATCGTGTTGAAGTATTTTGTAAGATTATTGATTGGCAGCTTCAAGAACTCAATGATCGTTTCAATGAGGTGACTACTAATTTGCTTCATGGAGTTGCTTGTTTGAATCCAGTTGACTCATTTTCTAGTTTTAACATAAGAAAAATAATGAGAATGGCTAAGTTATATCCTGATGACTTTGATGAGTTTAGTATGAATGCTCTTGAGAATCAACTTGCCACTTACATTATTGATGTTCGTGATATGGATGAAAGGTTCTCCAATCTTAATGGACTTTGTGATCTCTCAAGAAAATTAGTTGAGACAAAGAAGAACCTAAACTTTCCTCTTGTATTCCGCTTAGTGAAATTTGCTTTGCTTTTACCAGTTGCCACTGCATCCGTTGAAAGAGCTTTTTCGGCAATGAAGTTTATTAAAAATGCCTTGCGGAATCGGATGAATGATGAGCTTTTGAGCGGTTGTCTAGTTCCTTTTGTAGAAAAAGATGTATTTATTAATATTTCTAATGATACTATTGTAAAAACATTTCAAGAGATGAAACCGCGTCGAGTACGGTTGTAATAATGTAATTGTGTTTTGCTTTTATTAGTAAAATTTATTTTGTTGAATTTTTTGTGTGCATACTACTTTATATTTTGACACCCCTCAATCTAAATCCTGGCTCCGCCACTGGTCTGAACTAGGTTGGGAAATTTCAAGTTACTACGAAAAAGTTTTTCGATCCAAAATTTTTCCCCGTTGGCTTTTCTATAACGACGGAATCCGGTCGTTACATGCATATATTTTGACCACTCAGTTTCAATTTGTTTGAGTAATTTTGATTTGATATCGAGTTTAAGAAAGTATTTTTTTTTTTTGATACTTATAATATTTGTACTAGTAGTGTCTTTCAATACTAACATGACATCATTGCTTCATTAGTTGAACCAAACATATATTCAAATAATTGAGCTTTTTTTCCCTCAGTGGGTGAGAGTGCTACGCTGTTCTATTGTCGACTTCACAAAAAAAGTATAATTGTAGTAATTTTAAAGAATTTAAGCATAAGATATTAAGATTCATAATTAAAAGCAATAGATTTTATTGTTTTTTCTTACCATGATCTATTAATTACTTAATCATTAAACAATAAAGAAAATCTTAGGTGCTTAGTTTGTTGGTTATCTGAAATTTCCCTTATTGATGAGCGTTCAATTTCACACCTTATAATCCATTCCCATATTTCCCCTTCTTCCACCTCGACAATTTTCTTTCAATTTTAGGTGCCAATAAATTATTGGAACGTGTTTAAATGAAATATAGTCAAAATAACTCACTAAGCTTAGGAACATGAGAATTGTGAAGCTGGTACTTCTGTATCCATTGGTTAAAAGAGAGTTATAATTAATCGCAATTACATATTATAAGTAAGCCACGTACCTAATAAAACATATAATATGATCTCCTAATCATATAAAAGTGATGTGCAATATAGGAGTTAATATCTCAAAAGGTCACTCAATTTTGAGTATTTATCTAGTAAAGTCATTAAACATTATTTTGTATCAATAAAATCACTTAACTTAGACATCCATATCAATAAAATCACTCAACTTATCGTTTGTATCAATAAAATCACTCAAATAAATTTATTATTAAAGAAAATATTGACATCATAAAATAAATTATTTTTTTCTATAGAATTAATAAATTAAAGATAGTGGAGATTCATGCTACAAAGATTAATTGGTGTTATTTTCAACTAGAAAAAGCATAAGTGTTTGGATGATGTTGGCCTGTTCGGTGGAATTGTGATTCAGGCTACAGAGATTGGTAGCGGTAGAAGCAAACATTAAATTTTTTCCTTTTTAACTCCACCGTATAGTTAGCTTATGTTGAAACTTGAAAAAATAATAATTCAAACTTGTGTTGAAAAATTATTTCTGAAATTTGATTTTTTTTTTTTTTTGAATATAAAGTAATATCATAAAAGTATTTTCCGTAAAAATCTCTTAATGAATTTTCTAACATGGCATTAAAAAATAATTTATTTTGTCAAGTCAATATTTTTTAATAATAAATTTGATAGTGATTTTTTTGATATAAATATCTAAGTTGAATGATTTTATTGATACAAAATAAAGTTTAATAACTTTATTAGATAAATTGATAAAATGGAATGACCTTTTGAGATATTAACTCGCAATATAGTGTGGAACTCAACAAGATATATACAATCAAAAGAGCTTAGCATCCATAAGAAAACAAAACACACTACTCAATCGGCATCTTATATATAGTGATAAGTCGGCTAGTGCACCAAAATATAGATGATAGTTGTGTATTTGAAAAAAAGAGGATAGTACTTTTATGGTTGTATTTTCTTTTTCAAATTGCTTTATTATGTGTTATTTGAGTTGCAGATTTTTTCATGAGATAAGAATAAAATATGTGTGTATACAGTGGCGGAGCCAGGAATTTCACGAAGAGGGTCCAAAAATTAAACAACAAAAGCTCTTTGTAAGAAGGAGAAAAAAATGTTGCAAGTGTGATTTGAGCACGCGAGCATTGACTCATTAAAGATGTCTACACATTAAAGACATTTTAAACCACTAGCCAATAACAACTTATTATGTCAAGGATATCCAAAATATGTTATTTAATCACTTTGTGTATCATTTTATTTGCATATGCTGTATTTTTTTCCAACGAATTGGACACCCTCATATACATGTGCCTACGCCCATGTGTGTACACTCTATTTATTCAGATTCCATGACTTATGGAAATACACTGAATATGCGATCTATAGTGTTATTAAAGTTTAATCGATTTATAATCTATTATCGTTAACTCTTTTCGATGTAATAATTTAAATCAAATTGAATGTGTATAAGTTGCGTGAGGTTCTTCAACTCTTCATTGGCTGTGGCGGCACTAAAGTTTTGTGTTTTTTTTTTTTTTTTTTTTTTTATCTTCATTGAGAAGCCTTTTTGTACTCCGATTCTACGAGCTAGTTTGACTATTTAAGCCACTTTAAATGGAGTATCAAAAGAGGTTACATTTTCCATTTAAAGGTAAAGTTTGACATCTGTCCCTTCCATAATTGGTTTTCTAATGTATACATTTATATTTATCATATACTCAAAATAAAAGAGTTCACTTTTTATACTCCCATCGATTTTTTCCAAAATGGAAGAGTTCGTTTTTATCTAAGTTGCACAGACTCTTCACTTTCGATATCGCATTCTTAAAAAATATATTATTTTTGACGAATCCGACACGCACTCCTTGACATTTTTGAAGAGTCCGAGCAACATAGGTTTTTATAAGATTTATCTTCTTACTCGTTTCGTTCATTTTTACTTATCTGCTATATTAAATTAATTTTTTATTATTGTTTGTCCACTTCATTAATGTGTCAATAGAAAGATGTGTAGGTGACGGTGGCGGTGGCGGTGGCGATAGTGATAACGACAAGGATGATGATGGCGAAAAAATATGTAGTGATTGATGAAGTGTTGATGATAGTTGGTAGTGTGATGCTAATTGAGATGATAGAGTTGATTGATAGTAGGGATCATTAATTGACGGTAGAGGTGCTAGTAATGATGGAGATGGAGGTGGCGATGATGGTACTGACAATTGATATAATTATAATGACGAATGTGGTAATATGGTAGTGAATGATAGTGATGATTGACAGTGATGATTGTAATGACAAAGGTGATTGATAGTTGACGATAGTAATACGTAGGTGGTCTACAATGATGGTGGTAATTGTGATAATAGAGGTGATTAATGATGGTGGCTGATGATTGCGAATAGAATGATGGTGAATATTGTCCCACATAAAAATATCACTTATTCTAAGATTATAATGATAAAAAATCTATGAAGAGTTGAGGACCAATTGATTGTGTAAATCTTAATGAAAACAAATGCCCTTAATGATATAAGCTTCATAAGTGATTATACCATTGATGCACAGTGCATAATAAAAAATCATCTTTTTTTTTATAACTAGTAAACTTAGCCGCGCTACGCGCGGTGTATAAAAGTTTTAAAGTTTTTTTTTTAATTTTCAAATTCAAATAGATTAGATAACAAATTTTAACATTTCGATTTGAAATTTTAACTTGATTCATGAATTGATTTTATTAAAAAAAAATCCTTAAATTAGCACGGTCTAATACCTATATTTTTTTGGTTGAATAGTACCTATCTTTTTATTTATTTATTTATTGTTAGTTATAAGATAATAATTAAGAATTTATGGTTTTATTATCCATTTGAATGAATTCACAAAATTAAATATGGCCACCTTTGATATTTTGCAAAAATTTTAAAGTGGGACTTTTAGTCTTTTAATTTATTTTTTTTTAAAATGTCAAAAGAATTAAAATAGTTACACATCCAAACACGCTCTTAGAAATATGAAAAATTATTTGTAATAGATAATCTACCAATAATTTGAAGAGTATTTCAATTGTATATTAAAATTTAAAGTTTTTTCTTTATATGTTGATTCTTTGAAAAGGAAATGGGTGATACACGATTTTAGTTCTGCAAAATAATTTTTGGTGGTATAGGATTAACAAAAAAACAATATATTGTGGTTAAATTACAAAATAAAATAAGTAATAAATGAGCAAATATAAAAGAATGATAAAAGGTTTTATGTTATAAAGATTAAAAAAATAATTCTTATAATATCTAATAAAAGCTTATAATTAGACTTTTGGATTTTTTAAAAATAATGTAAATATATATAAAAAAAAAATTGTTCACAAATAATAGGAATATTTATAATTATTAATAAATAATATTTCCATATAATTAAAGTGTAAGAGAAAAGAGTTAAGTAAATATTTAGAATAATTATAATGGAGGATCAATGGTTAAGTAATAAGTATATTTGGAATAATTATCTCTATTAATTTGTCCCTTAATAAATTCTCTCCTATAATTCTATGTTTCTTTGAATTTATTTCAACAGTATTTTTCGATTCTCTTTTTTTTCATATTTTCTTTTTCATTTTTTCATATTTGCTTATTTAATTTCACTAAGAAAATAGTAACAGTTAGCATCGTATCTTAAAAGAATCAAGTTAGCTTGTTTTTAACTTTTTTACTAATTTATATATTTTTTTAAAAGTAACAATTATCATCGTATCCTAACATAATCAAATTAGCTTGTCTTTAGCTTTTTACTATTTTTTGCAAAATGTCAAAAATTAATTCTCTTAATTAATTTTTCTTATATTTTTCATGATATATATTTTATTGAAAATTCAAAAATAACTTCATAATAATTTTGATAATCTCCCGCCGCTAAGTGTATCCACAAACACATTTTAATGTTTTTCGAGAATTGTTTTTTATGCTAACTTTTATTAATGATCTTTCTCTTATAATTTCATTAAAAAAATCCAAATCAATTTTTCTCTTTTATATATCTTATTTTGTATCCTCCTTATTAGAAATAAAAATAACTACACAAAGTAGTCTTTGTCGATAGCTTTTGCACTACAAAATTAAAGTAGATGACAATTAAGCCCAAAACAAATATATTTGGATAG